TTCGAATCTGGAGGGTTCTGGGGAAGCAGGCAGGCAGGCGGGCGGGGGCCCGAGGGCTGCACAGGAAGCCGACGTGTTCCAGGCAGGTAGGCGAGGCGGGGCGGCCATGCGAGGCCTCCTGGCACCAACGGTTATGCAAATCTGGGCTGTGATTTTGGAAGGGCTGATCCGGCTGATTCCTCGCATTCCTCTGCACGACAGATTGGGCCCGAGGGCTTTTCTCCTTTTTCCTCTTCCTTCCTTCCCTCTTTTCTTTCATTCTTGCTTGCTTTCCCTTCTTTCTTTCTATTTCTTTTCTTCCTTCCCCCTTTTTATTCTCTTTTTTTCATTCTTGCTTGCTTTTCTTTCTTTTTCTTTCCTTTTTCTTTCTCTCCTTCCTTCCTCTCTTCTTTCTCTTCTCTTTCATTCTTTTCCTTCCTTCTTTCTTTTCTTTCATTCTTGCTTGCTTTCCCTTCTTTCTTTCTATTTCTTTTCTTCCTTCCCCCTTTTTATTCTCTTTTTTTCATTCTTGCTTGCTTTTCTTTCTTTTTCTTTCCTTTTTCTATATTTCCTTCCTTCCACTCTTCTTTCTCTTCTCTTTCATTCTTTTCCTTCCTTCTTTCTTTTCTTTCATTCTTGCTTGCTTTCCCTTCTTTCTTTCTATTTCTTTCTTTCTTTTCTTCCTTCCCCCTTTTTTCCTCTTTTTTCCATTCTTGCTTGCTTTTCTTTCTTTCTCTTTCTTTCCTTTTTCTTTCTCTCCTTCCTTCCACTCTTCTTTCTGTTCTCTTTTCTTTCATTCTTTTTCTTCTTTCTTTTCTTTCATTCTCTTCCTTCCTTTTTCTTTCTTATTTTTCCTTCCTTCCCTCCCTCCCTTCTTTCTTTCTCCATCACTCAAGATTTACAAGAAGAGTTTGAACAACCTTTTATCCAGAATAATATAGGATCTCCTGCTTCAGCAGGGGTTGGACTAGAAGACCTCCAAGGCTCCTTCCAACTCTGTTATTCCAAGTCCGTCCTTCCTTCCTTCCTTCCTTCTTTCCTTCCTTCCTTCTTTCCTTCCTTCCTCCCTCCCTCCCTTCCTTCTTTCCTTTCTTTCTTTCTTTCTTTCTTTCTCTTTCTTTCTTTCTTTTTCTCTCTTCTTTCTTTCTTCTTCTTCTTCTTCTTTCGTTCTTCTCTTTCTTTCTTTCTTTTTCTTTCTTTCTTTCTTTTCTTTCTTTCTTTCTTTCTTTCTTCCGCACACACACACACATACGACACCAACAGCACCACATCCTTCTTAGCCCACTACCCCTCCCCATCTCCATCGCTCTACACTGCAGTCTTCCACACAATGTATTGCCATCAGAAACGCCAACTGCAAGCCCTTGGGGGGGGTGGGATTCTCCCCCCCCCCCGCCCAAGCTAGGACAGAGCTCATGGAGGGAAGGAAGAGGGGAGCTCCAGACCCTGTTGTGATCATAAACCATCCCTTTTTTTAAGTGGGGGTGAGCCCACCGTTCTCAGCAGAACCCCCTCTCTGGAGTCTCACCCAGTCCAAAGAAGGCAGCTATATCCCTTATGACAGTGGTTCCCAAACTTGGCAACTTTAAGACGTATGGACTTCAACTCCCAGAATTCTCCAGCCAGCANCTGCATTTAACCACTGCGCCACCTCGGATAAGGACTGTGAGGTCCTTGGTGCTCTCTGGCTTCCTCGCAGGCGTCTCATGACCCAACTAGGGAACATCATCAGTTCACTGCCTTCCCTAACTGAGGCACTTTACCTGAGAGAACCACTTCCACCAGCTCACCCTCCTGAATGTCGGAGGCGGCTCGGACCAGCTGTAAAATGTTGGCTGTCGAAGAGTCATGTTTGAACAGCAGGATTTTATCGTAGAGGCCATAAAATCCACATTCAGGAAACTGCAAAAGAGAAAAGCCAGCGTGGATCAGATAAGCGAGGCTGGAAAAAAACCCCTGCAAAAATCAGAATTTGGGTACCAGGGAAAGGCAGGAGGCACACGGCTCAAATGGGTCAAGGGGTTTATTTTTTGGGGGGGTGGGGGTGGGAAATACAGCCTTGCACCTTCTCTGGCTTTATAGATAGTCCTCATTTAGCAACTACAATCGGCAACTTGGTCACTAAATGAATCAGTTGCTAAGGGAAGCCGCGACTGTGCTTAGGAAGAAAGTTGAGAGTCCCTTTGCTTTACCAACCTGTGAAAGTTGTAAATGAGGCAGTGGATAAACCAGGACTAACTAGGGAGACCCCCCTAGACCCCCAAAACCTTTGGGGGAACACCCTGGAAAACCTGGAGTGTCACAGTTCTGGGGGGGGGGGTCTCCCGAAATTCTACCTAATCTACATAATTCTACCTAATCAAAATATAATTATACACAATCAAAATATTATGTTGACAAGCCTGTCAAAATAATCCATATTTATTTATCAGGGAGGACCAGAGACGTCTGTGCAGATCTCAGGTGGACAATTATGGCCCCTTGGTGAACTGTGAACTACAAATCCCAGAATTCATGGCTGGGGGGATTCTAAGAGTTGAAGTCCACAAATTACTATCGAAGTAGCCCTTGGCTTATGACCATAATGAAGGCCAACATTTCTTTTACTAAGACAGTGTTTCTCAACCTTGGCCACTTGAAGATGTCTGGACTTCAACTCCCAGAATTCCCCAGCAGTGGTTAGGACAGTGTTTCTCAACCTTGGCAACTTGAAGATGCTTGGACTTCAACTCCCAGAATTCCCCAGCAGTGGTTAGGACAGTGTTTCTCAACCTTGGCAACTTGAAGATGCTTGGACTTCAACTCCCAGAATTC